ACCAACTATCCATGTAAACATGATGGCTCCACCACTCACCAACTATCCATGTAAACATGATGGCTCCACCACTCACCAACTATCCATGTAAACATGATGGCTCCACCACTCACCAACTATCCATGTAAACATGATGGCTCCACCACTCACCAACTATCCATGTTAACATGATGGCTCCACCACTCACCAACTATCCATGTTAACATGATGGCTCCACCACTCACCAACTATCCATGTTAACATGATGGCTCCACCACTCACCAACTATCCATGTTAACATGATGGCTCCACCACTCACCAACTATCCATGTTAACATGATGGCTCCACCACTCACTAACTATCCATGTTAACATGATGGCTCCACCACTCACCAACTATCCATGTTAACATGATGGCTCCACCACTCACTAACTATCAATGTTAACATGATGGCTCCACCACTCACCAACTATCCATGTAAACATGACATGATGGCTCCACCACTCACCAACTATCCATGTTAACATGATGGCTCCACCACTCACCAACTATCCATGTTAACATGATGGCTCCACCACTCACTAACTATCAATGTTAACATGATGGCTCCACCACTCACCAACTATCCATGTAAACATGATGGCTCCACCACTCACTAACTATCCATGTTAACATGATAGCTCCACCACTCACTAACTATCCATGTAAACATGATGGCCTGTCAATCACCTGTACCACTCACCTAGCTAACCAGATAGCTCCAATATGGGCATTCAATAAGACTTTATCCTCCTTAGTATTTTTCTCCTCTAAAATGGCATTCAGAGTGCTGTACTTGACGGTGTCCTGTTGAAACTTCTTGTCAATTTTCTGTAACAAAGAAACAGTCAACCATGTTAGTTTGTGCTTCATGGTTTTCAAGTATATCAAAACATAGAGCCTCAGATAACAATTGAGATGGAGTGGGTTTAATTTTGGGTTTCAGATCATAGCACTTATATGTCGACATTGCATGTGTATGTGTATGTGCTTCTACTCCTCTTAACAAATGACTGATTTACAGTTGTACTCTACTGATCATGAGATACTGTGCCAGAGTTTCAACAGTATACTCACACCAGAGGTACCAATCCTTCCTTTACTTCTCAATGTCAGCCAACATGACATAATTTTGTAATGACTTTTACAGATTTACAAAACCAGTGAAGGTCCGGGTTAGAATTGATCTTCAGTAACCCATACTTGTCGTAAAAGGCGACTAACGGGATCAGGTGGTCAGGCTCGCAGACTTGTCATCGCACCCCAATTGCATAGATCAATGCTCCAGACTCGATTATTTACAGACCGCCACCATGGAAATTGGAATATTGCTGATGCAGACTAAAACTAAACTCACTCATTATTTACACATGATTTTTGTTAAATCAAATCTTTCAACTTAATTTTACTCGGGTAAATGATAATGGTGGTGATCAAATACTACTATAACGCTACTATAACATTCAGTGTGCTTGACATGGTGAAACATGTGCTCAGTGCAGATTAATAACAAAGTTTAAGGTTCTACCTCAATGTTACCAGCAACATCATTCTTCACAAATTTGAAGGTTGCACCCATCTTGTCTGCAAAAACAAAACACACAATAAATCCAGCCATTCAGTTCTCTGGGAAAATCACACAAGCTCCACACATTTCCTGTGTGGAAATTTCTGCTTGTTGGAACAAATACTCTTAGTAGTCTTACTGCACATTAAAAAATGTGAGCTGTGTGAGCTTCATCTTGCTTTTCTAATCTGTTTCAAAATTTACAAACGACTTGATCTACATCATATAAGAATATAAAGACAATTACCAAGTGATCTAAATTTTAAACACTGTTAGTGTCAAAATTGTTATGAAAAAGGTTGCACAATTTATAAAAAAATCCTTTGATTTTAAAAAAGATTATTGCATTGTGATTTCTGTATCATGATATATATTGTATTGTGAATGGGCAGTATACTTTCAACTCAACCTGACACAACTGCAGACTCGGTTTTGGCAAAAGTTACAACATTGCAACATTGGCTCCCGCTATTGAAAGGGCAACATGCCACAGATTTTAGGCATACATTACCTACCATCAATATGAATTATTTCTTTAGCCAGCTGACCAGCTCTTTCACTACTTCTGAGTCATGATCCATCAGTTAGTATTTATAGGTATTACTTTCTTCAAGTATCAAAATTCATGCGATTACAGAACATATTCGATGCCCAATTTGGGTAAAAATCCTCAGTCAAAACATCCAATACCTCAAGTAAAAATATTTACTATTGTAAAATACCTATCATACATGTCTTTACGATGCTAAGGGTTGTTGTGTAGCATTAATATTAGGTTAAGTCCAAATTAAACTAAAAAACTGGATCCTTGAATAAAAATGAGTCGAACATATTTTTCAGAGGTCCTTAAAGTGAAAGTTTTGAATTACGGCATGATGACGTCACCAGATTGTTTCCTGGTATACAGTAATAACTTTCATGCATAAAAATTTAAAACTCGTCATGTGTTTTTGGAAAGTACGGGCCAGCTAAAGTGCAATAGACTGGAACAGCCTGCGGGCGACCTGGAGATGATGTGTACCTGTGATACACCTATATTTAGCAGTTCGCCTGCTGTACAAACAACATACCGAAGAATATCACCAGCTGTCGTGAAGCGTCCAGAAACGTTTGTGTCATTATACGTTTGTCCTCTGGAATAGGTTGAAAATAAGGGCTACACATGCTGAAGAACGTCATTTTCAGGTGATATCGATTCCACTACGAGATATGTAGTAAACGTACACAATCGCACAGGTGCGTGTGGAAACGGATGTAATAACAAACAACTGAAGTACTTTGCGGCAATATAGGTTATGCACCATTTATAAACGTCATTCGAACAAGAAGTGTCGCCAGTGTGCTTGTGACGAGACTGAAAGTAAGACGCAGTTTCCTATCCATTGAACTTGCAGTGTTGTGAAGTTTCACATGGTCTGATATTAGTTCACTTTCAGCGCTCGGCTGCCAACTGGCATAGATTCTATTATATGACGATATCGTGGTTTAAAAACGTATATGTTGTGTACAAAACGTTATAAAATTATTATTCCTGCACAAAGTGTAACCAAATAATATACCATTCAACTCTAGTTGATTGTCCTGCACACGGTATCTTTATTTCAGCAGGAGTACTTGAGGTTTTCACGATCCAGTGCAAATGGCTCATATGTACCTGAACGTCTCGTCAGATTCATACCTGCTTTGAAGCATTCGTGCCTTTTTTGTTCTAGTACCCATTTTTTATGAATTTTACGGCCAAAACTGGCATACATTAAAGCGACAAAAAAAGAGATATTTTTTCTTACAAACAATTTATTCATCACTTAATCTACCACTTTCATAGCAATTCATTCTTTGAACAATCAAACAAAGGTTTTCGTTGCGAATATGTCTGCCGTTGAGCGACAGAAATTACTTCAAATATAGGTTTAGAGTACAAACGACCAATTCAAATATTTTTTTAATTGGGTACAGATACAAGTTGTTTAGGTACAAGTAGTTACGGGTTGTCCAATATTTGGGTACGGGTCTGACAAAGGTGGTTGGATACGGATCTCTGTTGATACGGATCTCTGTGGGTACGGATCTCTATGGGCGCGGATCTCTGTGGGTACGGATCTCTGTGGGTACGGATCTCTGTGGGCACGGATCTCTGTGGGCACGGATCTCTGTGGGTACGGATTGTCCAGTTCCTGGGTGTTCAATGTTTACATGTTCAACATGAACTTCATGCCTCTAAACGTAATGTGTGCCTCCTAAACACAACGACCATGCTGTCTTTTTCTATCCTAACTTTGATTATTGTCTGTCAGTCAGCATCATAAAGACACCTGTGTACAATCTGCATCGCCGACTAAATCGCCAGAACTTTCTCGATAGACATATACTACTGGATTAAAGTAACTGTGCGTTAATTGATGTTATGCTATAATAAGAATAAGATAAGAAGATAATAATATGATTTCTGGTGTTTTCCTCAATCACTTTTTAATTGTTGACAGGATAATATCGAAATCTGCATTTGACACGCCCTTGAAGAGATGTGGTGTCAAAAGTCAGTTCAGAAATTCTGTATCGCGTGTGTCCTCCATTGGTGTGGATAGAGGCTTGACAACCATGATGCATGTCCTAATTCAGCCAATGTCTCTGGGCTGCATGAGGTAAACGTGGCTCCATTTCATCCCAAGCGTACTCGATAGGGGACAGGTAATAACTTGTACTATATGCAAATTTGGTGTTATGCAAAGCTACCTTTTTCCGTTTATATATGTCCAATACTTGAAGGCAACAAATCAACTCCCCTTTCAGCATAAACGTCAAAAACTGTATCAAACAATGTGCGAAATAGTTTCTAAATTTTGCTGCCTGAAAGTTACTAGCCCACATAATAATTCACAAGCCCGAAATTTGAATGTAGACACGGGTTTCATCTTTAAGCTGCTAACACGAAGAACATTTCTATCAGGCCATAATCTTGCATGATTTAATAGTATGTTATAACGGAGAGAATGATATATTTACAAAATGAGCCCATGAAAATTCACTAGCCAGTGACTGTGGCGATTTACTGGCCCGACTGGATTTTTACTTGCCACGGGCTAGCGGGCCAGTGGCTATTTCGCACAGTGGTATTAAGGCTGCGGACACCATAAATGGGCTGCACACATTGCACACATATATGGAATCAAACCCGGTCTACAGCAAGGCGAGCGAACGCTTTAACCACTAGACTATAGCCACAGTCCCACGTAAAACACGAACTCTTTGAATTGTTTGATCGGTATTTTAGAAGTTGGTGTGTCAATATTGAAGCATACAGCTTTAAGAATGACAACTTCTTGTTTATTGCATAGAACGACGTTTCGGTGGATATTCTTACATCATGATCAAGCTAAGAGTAACTAACACTTTTACGAACTCTTGGGCTTTAACAAAGACATTGAGGGTGTCGTTTGAGTCGACAGTGGTGTTGATTGTGTTTAGGTTGCCAACCCCGTTTTGGTGAACCGGATGCCAAACCTTTTGACATGGTATTCAGGATGCCACAGTGCAGTACGCTGGATGCCATGCTTATCTGGTGCCAATATTTCAATATGAAAACTGTACAATCTTCCATGTAAACCATCGTGCCATCCTATGTACATTTGCCCCGTGAAGGTCCGGGTTAGAATATTGATCTTCAGTAACTCATGCTTGTCGTAAGAGGCGACTAACGGGTGGTCAGGCGGGTGGTCAGGCTCGCAGACTTGGTTGACACATGTCATCGGTTCCCAACTGTGCAGAACGATGCTCATGATGTCGATCACTGGATTGTCTGGACCAGACTAGATTATTTACAGACCGCCGCCATATAGCTGGAATATTGCTGAGTGCGGCGTAAAACTAAACTCACTCACTCACTCCTATGTACACTTAACTGCATATTTGTATCTGTTATGCCGCGCATCCCGGCCTGAGCGTAATATAAGTTCTGTTCTGATGTTGAAATATATTTTTTTGCAAAATAAATAAATAAACTATTTATATCCAAGCTTATTAGCACGCACGGCTCTGTGTTATATGTTAAAACCACGCAATGTTTATAGTTGCTTGTACCTGCTCTGTGAACTGATATGACTCTGACCTTGGCAATAATGGCCGATACTTACAAGGTTGCGGTTGTCGTGAACAATTGTAGGAGCTTTTCATTCCATTCTAATCCAGTTTCGAATCGATTCGTGCGTAATGTCGACTTCGTTCGAAAAGCAGTGCGAAATTCGTCAAACGGCCATCGAAACGGCGACTAAAAGGGCTTTTTAATTCTTTGCTTTTAAAAACTAGTTTTTTTTAAACGTTATTTTGTTTCTTCGATTGGTTGATCCATTCAGGGTTTTTTCACCGCTGACGTAAAACTAACATATATGTCGCTGAAAAGGACACATTTTCGATTCTTTAAATTGACTTTAAAAATTCATGGGATGGATAGTTGATTGGGTTATTGGAGTGACGCACTAACGTGTGATGGGCATGTGATCTGAATATCAAAAAACCCGCCAACGATGCCATATACACTTTGAATAGTTATCAGAATATTTTGCAGTACATGTGGAGAAAGTTGGTATAGATGTTCGTTGAGTGATATCATTATGGAAACACCAACGTGATGAGCGAACGCTTTAACCACTAGGCTACCAGCCGCTCCTAGGTGCCCCTTGAACAAGGGAGATAGTTCTATGGATATACAAACTTCTTTACTACAATATATGTAACATTTCGGTTCAGTTGCTAATACGGTTATCAAGCATGTGATGTACAGTGCTGGGCCTAGATTTTCGAAGCTCTCTTAGCACTAAGATAGTCGTAAGTGCCATTCATTAACATTAACTTACGACTATCTTAACGCTAAGGCTGGATTTACACTACGTCCGATTTTCTCTGCGTTGCGTCCGAAAAAACGCAAGCAGTACATTTGCCATTTAGACAATACACTAGGTACGAATTTTGCATGCGTTGCGATTCGAAGCGATTTAGATAGGTAGGCCTCCTGTTTTTAACGCAACGCAAATGAACTCGCATGAGGAATTCCCCTGATGACGTCATTCCAATAAGGTATTTCCCCAACACGTTGACAATCAGGTAAGGTTATTTCCTCATCTTTCGATAAAAATACGCGATTCCAATTGCAGACAGGCTGTGTTTTGATGAGATATTATTTATAATGTGTTTCTACGCTTGTCTGTGCATAACATATACAATAATATGACAAACCTTTGATAAATTTCATTCTCAGAACAAGCTACTTTAAGATGCTTCTAACAGTCTTATGAAAAATAAAATTGCCCAGATATTTCATGAGGCTCAATTTGGTTCACGTCAACAGAACCCTCAGAACTGTTCCACAGGGAAATCAGTACTGCTCAGATTCTATATATGTGGAATTTGTAATGCTTGAGTGTATGTGAGAACACTGTTGGTATGAAAGTAAATATTTTCTACATACGTTTAGTTCAGTATTTCGAAAACACATAAAAGACTGATGTTATTTAATTCCCTAATAATTCCCCTATAAGACGATTATAGGCTCCTTCAAGTAATCTTCGTTGGTTTAAGGGATGTACCCACCATCTCCGTGTTCTGTTCTCTTCCTCATGCACAGAAACTGCCAGAGATGCTAGGATATTTCCTCCATCTGATATTCATCTCGCACCTAGTGTATTGGGAAAAAACGCACTCGGTAACGCATGCGTCAAAAATGCTGACGTAGTGTAAATCCAGCCTAAGAGAGCTTCAAAAATCTAGGCCCAGCTTTACCTACAGGACTATAAGTGCAGTAATCTTGAATGTGACGTAAAATAACATCCACCTTGTCATATACTTTTCATGCAAACCATTTACAAGTTCTGAAAACGAGCACAGTGCAGTAAAGTTGGTCTCTTCAAAATTAACCCTTCGTGCTGGTGAAATGTCAGATTCCGGATTGAATCGTGGTATATTTCACGCAGGTGCTCGCTAGCACTGTCACGTGCTGTTATGGTTACGAGTTCAACCAATCAGAGCTCACTTCCGCTGCACGAGTTTCACGAGCGCGTTAATTCCTCACTCAAATGATAGAAGCAGAAGTGAATATTTGACAGGAGTATGGGCGGATTGCAACAAACAATCTGGTGAGAAATAATGCAAAACCCTAGGTGAACATAAACTTGGACAAAAAAATACTTTTAACGCTTCAACAAATGTTCTTTTGGAAATTCTTGCTTGTGAAGGCTGTCCACTGAAAATAACGGAATTTCTTGCATTGCAGTGGAC